AAACCCGCGATGATCATTAGTATTTAATATTAATAATTTACGAGACACCTTAATGAACAATTGACACTGTTGCACTACGGGTGATTATAACTGCAATCTTCGCTGTTCAATCCGCTTTCTAATCTGTCATTATCATCAGCAGAACCAATTTTTCTCGACCATCTAAACGTATGCTACCGAATATCTACGATGTAATTGGGCACCAAGAACTTGATCCATCACCATGTCCGCTGTCAACAGCGAATATAACGTGACGACGCAAAAATATGGGTCTCATAACATTTTAAAAGTGTGATTTTAACACGAGTGCAAAATATAGTTAATCTCGGACACTTGTTACACCTTAATGGTTATTATTTTGCTGGTGGGGACATTCGCTATATGCATGTATTCCACTTTCTATGGTACACTTGCAATATCTGACAAATAGGTAATCCTCCGCTGCAAGGAAATACATAGCAGCTCATTTTACACCTATAGTTGTCTATATAAGAACGAATATATATTGTTAATCCGTAAAGTAAGTATTTATACAAATAATGTTCGAGAATATAAAAATATAGTCAACTAAACTCGAGAAAATGCATACAGTATTGTGTACAAAAAGAAATATGCACATTGAAAACAATTATTTCCTGGGTAGGTACATGACGAACGCTTACATACGCTGAACGGCGCTATATAATGCTAGTGGAGTTATTTACAATGACAGCTAAATATCCAAATAAATTTAATATGCAAATTCAGTTACCTAGTGCAGTTAATTATGTGAACATGTACTATTTCTTTGGATACCAACTACTATGAACTACCAAATAAATAAATTGATAAACACGTGCTACAAATATGAATTGCTATATTAAATTTAATTGAATCGGTGAAAAGTAACGTAAATATAATTGCAGTTCGTACATGCATTTTCTTATTTATTTTATAAGGAACTATGTATTTAATAAAGAAACTAAAATAAATTATCCATAATACATAAAAACGTAATTTTTAGTAAACGCTGAGGAACGCTGTTTTTAACTACTGCTGCTGAGACCCCGGTTTAAACATTCTTTAAGCAGGCAAGCGCTTCTTTCTTACCATAATCGCCGCATAATAACCAGAATTCCAATCTGCGCGTAAGTGTCTTGTAGTTGTGTGCCGCAAAGGTTGACTGTTGTATCCAGGACTAGTAGCCACGGGTTCGTTCATACCGAGAGCCAGTGTGTCACTTTGTGACCACTTTTCCCAAACTTTAGTATCTATCCATTCTACTACGTCAACTTTGTTTTGTGTTTAGTTCCTTCCATTATCTATACTGGCAGAAGTTACTGAATAGTTATATGGCGATCGAGGAAAATGGCGCGCGGTACGTTTTTGATCCGTTGTGTATTCATCCGTGACATCGCAGCAAACGTGCAGAGGTACATTCGTCCTCTCCCCCACATCCACCAACCTTCTCCACCATTGCCTCCCCCTATCCTCTCCTCCTCCTCTCCTCCCCTTCTCCTCGTTCCTTGCTTCACCTACTTCTTCTCGTTCTCCGCCCCTTTCGTCTTCGCCTCCTCCTCATTCTCCTCCTCCCTTCGTGTTTTCTTTGTTTTCTAGCTGACAATCATATTGTCGCATCATTTCAGAAAGAGCACTTAAAGCCTTTTAAGGGTATATTCACGTACGGTAATAAATCATGCATAAGCAACATAATCACGCCTTCGCGATTCGTTTAACTGCCTCTACGCACGATCGTTATGTTCAAATTCACTATATAAGTGATATCATAATTGCGCAATGCGCAGTAGACATGATGCTTACATGATTAGTTATGATCGCATAAACTAGACAATTCCATATAAGATAAGACCAAATACTACCCATCAGAGGAATGTTGGCTACTGGGAGCAGAAGAGTTGATTTACTTTCGCTGTGATATTCTTCTACTCGGATATACGCGCTGTGGATAAAAGGTTGTAGGTACCGCCATCTAGTGGCAAAAGAAAACGATCCCGCGGGTGGCATATCGTAAGCTGGGAGGGATACCGGAATACGTCTAGTTGCAAAAACGTTTTGTATGTACAAACAATCGTTAAATGCTCCGGATGACGCGAACTTACAATGTCACGTGTCGTGTGCACCTGCTGATATCCGGTGATTTTTACGCAAGCAAAAATATTAGAAGTGGGCTTAACAAAAGAGCCTGCCTTATGCGGGTGCGAATGTTGCTCTGGGAAAGAATTGGATTAAACGCCAGTGGGTTCATCAATTTTCTGAATGGTGCTAAAAGGTTCCAGGACACCACGTACGCACGTGCTTTATGGTACACAAACGTGTGTTGTATTTTTGTTTGTCTTAATACTCATAAACGCAAGTAAGAGAATAGTCAGATGAAAGGATTAAAGCGGCATTGCAGCAAGTACACAGCCATCCACTTTATTGCTATCAATGGGCATAGCGCAGAAATAATAGAATCGGTCACCTCAGTCATTGGGTTCATAGGTTCATATTACATTTAAAAAATTATGCTCCAGACACCTATGCCCGCCCAATCTAGAAAGTTAAAACCAGACATGCGCGCGCACAATCCCCGCGTAAGACATTCTGCATGCTACGCTACATCGGTTGTTCTGTTTCTTATTATATTATATTATATACATTATTATATTATTATATATACAACACGCTACGGAAATAACACGTTGAAGCACCGATATTTGTGCTGCATGTATAAGTACAAGTATAGTATATGTATAGTATGAATAGTATAAATATAGTAATATGTATATAGTGTGTATAGTATATATAATGTAAGTATAAGATATATAGTATGTATAGTATATGTATAGTATATGTATAGTATATGTATAGTATGTATAGTATATGTATAGTATGTATATTATAAGTATAATATATGCATAGCATGTATAGTATATGTATAGTATATGTATAGTATGTATAGTATATGTATAGTATGTATATTATAAGTATAATATATGCATAGCATGTATAGTATATGTATAGTATATGTATAGTGTTATAGTATAAATATATAATATATGCATGGTATGTATAGTATATGTATAGTATATGTATAGTATATGTATAGTATATGTATAGTATATGTATAGTATGTATATTACAAGTATAATATATGCATAACATGTATAGTATATATATAGTATATGTATATAGTGTTATAGTATAAATATATAATATATGCATGGTATGTATAGTATATATGTATAGTATATGTATAGCTCGTAAACGCACATATAGGATCGCGTAAAATAGCTGGGGGTGGGGGTGGGGGGGGTAGGTTCATTCATGCAGGGGTTAATAATGGCAAATGATCTTAATTTAATGATTGTCTTATTAACCCCTTATTCGCGCTGGGCATACGGCGTGCGATAGAGCGTACTTCTCTCTATCTGCATACTACAGACAGACATGCAGACAGACGAAGCATATCTTATAGGAATCACTCGTGTGTGCGGCCGCAGAGAAGACAAGAACTTAGGGGTGATGAGAAGGAGAGGGGACGCAGACCCTGGTTGCCCCCGCTTTACAAATTAAGCCAGCATTCAGAGTTAACGCGACCCCGGAAATGAGTGGAATGTGAATTTCTAGCTAGCCGGCTGAAGAATACAAGTTTGTGTTGATATGTATATATACTTATACAATATTTTTTTGTAATTGTAGCCTATATATATATTTTTATTTATTGAGACAACTTACTAATTGCTATGGAAAGCCGTACAGTTTGTGTTTAGTTCTTATCATAACTAAATTCGCATGATGAGATTGGAAATTTGTTTTCATTTTTCCATGTTCTTTTTCTTTTAAATTTGTAATTTGATTTACAATTTGCAACGTTGGGTTAACGTTCTGCAGAATAGAAGCAGTTTCGAAAATTGCTCGTAACATAAATGCTGAATAGAGTGGTAGTATATATAAGGAGTTCAACAAGATCGGAAAAATAGCTCCATTTTAGACGGAACGTAATCGACACGCTTAATTAGGCATACATTACGTCCTCGCTGTATCCTAATAAAAATCCGAGTCCGGGTTATCCGAAAATATACTGATAGAGCTGACGGTTATAACGACAAAAACTGATAGAGTAGTAACGACGGTTCGCAGCGTGCGTTAGTCAAGCAATAGAATGCGCGCGTTTGTATGTGTAGCATCTTCATCATCACATGGATGGAAGGTTAATGGATAATAGAACAAAATAAATTATGTATATATATATATATATATATATATATATATATATATATATATGCCTACTCCGTGGAGGTAGGGATGCGCGGGGTGGTACAACATGTTATGTTTATATGGACTATACATAGTATGTCTTCCCTATGGACAAAATGTGCGATAATACATAAAACATACATATATCGTATGAGCATCCCATCAAGAGCTAATAATACGTAAGGTATTAAGCCCTATTAGATTATACATAAGGCATTATCAGCTCTTGATTCCATGTAGGGCCTATGCAGGGAGAGGTTACAGAGGAGTGAGACAACAGTAGACATCGTACGTTTTCCCTACGGACGATGGGGGGGGGGTGAGAATGTCAAACCACATACACGCACTTTTCAGGAACACACGACAAACAGGACGGTTTAGTTGCGCATTGCAGATGCGTATCGCGCGCGCGCACGTACACTCCATGAGCGCGGAGGATAGTTTCCATGTTTTAGATTACCCAGTATAGGACAACCGCGCGCCGCCATGTTTGACCATCGCCGCCATGTTTGACACACGCCGCCATGTTTGACCCACGCTACCATGTTTGACCATCGCCGCCATGTTTGACCCACGCCGCCATGTTTGACCCACGCTACCATGTTTGACCATCGCCGCCATGTTTGACCCACGCCGCCATGTTTGACCCTCGCCGCCATGTTTGACCTCGCCGCCATGTGTGACCCTCGCCGCCATGTTTGACCTTCGCCGCCATGTTTGAGCCTCGCCGCTAACCTTCAACCTTCGTCTTCGTCTTGCAGTTTCGCGTCTCATGAGCCACTCGTCGGGCATGAACATGAACATGTCGTCGACCGTGTCGGCGCTGAACGGCATCGACGGCGGCATGCACAAGGGCATGCAGTTTCCGCTGACGCAGCGACGCAAGCGGCGCGTGCTCTTCACGCAGGCGCAGGTCTACGAGCTGGAGCGTCGCTTCAAGCAGCAGAAGTACCTGTCGGCGCCCGAACGCGAGCACCTCGCCAGTCTCATCAACCTGACGCCGACGCAGGTGAAGATCTGGTTCCAGAATCACCGCTACAAGTGCAAGCGCGCCACCAAGGACAAGCAGATGCAGGAGCATCAGCACAGCGGCCAGCAGGGCGGCGCTGCGGGCGGCGGCGCGCAGGGCGGCCAGCAGTCGCCGCGGCGCGTCGCCGTGCCCGTGCTCGTGAAGGACGGTAAGCCGTGCACGGCGGGCTTGGGCGGCGCCGACGCCGGCATGCAGGCGTCGCAGGCGGCGAGCCACCGGCACGGCCAGCACGCCGCCGCCATGCCGCAGGCGATGACGCCCGACAACTCGGTGAACTCCGGCGCGCATCAGTCGCCGGTGACGGCGGCGAGCATGCAGAGCAGCATGACGAACCACCTGACGAGCTCGATTAACTACAACGCCGTCGCCGGTATGAGCTCGGCCGACGTCGTCGCCTCCTACATACCGTCGCTCACGCACCGCGCCTGGTGAGAGAGAGAGAGATAGATGCGGGGCGACACTGTACAGTTAGATGCAGCAAGTATTACACCGCGGCGGCCGTCATCTGCGTCGGCAACGCTCCCGCGCCCTCGTGCGGCCGACTCTAGTACTGCACGTGAGGAAAGACGGACGGGTAACTCTGATGACGTCAGAGACACTGGTGCGTCGCCCAGGACAACGTTAGCTGGGAAATCTAAATGCGTACTACCGTCACGCGTGTCCGTATACGCGCGAAGCTGTCACGGGGAGGGCCGGGAACTGCGGGTGGGGGGATGGGGCACGGCCGTAGCGAAGGTGGCGCGGTGGTGGGCGTCTTTGTCACCGCCGCAACGCTACTGACACCGCCCGATGTCGCACACGAACCGAGCTCGCGAAGCCTTAAGACGCAGCAGTCTGATCTACCGTACACGCACGCGCGCGCGCACACACGCGCGCGTGCGTGTACGTCTCGCCAGTACGGGCGCACGCGAAGCACGCGCTAGCCGCCGTTAGGTCGACAGCAGGCGCGCGTACGTTATTTCAAGGCGGAGAAAGGAGCTAATAATACGGCTCTATTGCAAAGACGTTGTTGCTGAGGGCGGCTGTTCTTTCGCTTGCCCAATAGGTGTAAACTCGGAACGCGCGCACACACACACACACAGAGAACGTAGTACGCATTTTTGCGACGCTCGCGGCCACGTTCTATTTAGCGAGTGGTGACACGTGATGCACTGAAACCACGGGCTGCCAGCCAATCAGCCACTGCAAATTTAATACTCTACCCTGAAGATTCTCTCGTCGTTCCATGCAGAATGGCCGCGATTTTTGCAGCTACATGTCTTTGAACTTAGTGGGGAACGGGGATGCACGATGAATAGTATTGAGCGGGTACTTTATTCCACTGTATGCATTATGAACCGTCGTGACTGTGCGCTGTATGGATCTCTACACCCCGCCTTCTATCAGGCATCATGTAGAATTTAAATGATGACTCGTCGAGTCGGGCATGACGACGTGCTTTGTACGCGGAACTATGAGCCTCTATAACACATATAGACCACGTCACCTCTCAGAGTACTCGGTTTTCACAGATCCTCGCTTAAAGGCCATTTCAAACGGCACGTAAAATATTCGTTAGTATATTGTAGATGTTGAGAGGCTCGCAATGAGGAAAGCATGCACCGAGGACGTCGGCGCCTCGCGGTAAATGTTGTACGTATTCAATCTACAAAATTCTATAATGTCGTCTGTGCATGTAAAGTTAAGGAAATTATTTAATTCTCATGTCAGTGAATATATGTCTACAACACTTATTAGTGATCGTATAGCAATTGTAAAATTTCGACAACTAAATGTATAGTACGCATTTGGGATATTAGTCTATATTTAGAGCTCTGTATTTATTTATTGTATATAAAGAAGCATGCAGGTTGGTCGAAGAGCTAGAGGCAAAGCAGCGTCAGCGTTAAGTGCTTACGTCACCAAATCGATATCCACTGTTCAACATGGCGGCCAGACCTTTCTAGAGACGCCGAATGCATGTTTATCAACTGTCTTGTGATTGCTAACCGCAAATAAACAAGATGAAGGCGTTCGAAAAAAAATCGAGACAAGACTGGTTGTATGTGTGATGCTTAAATGCGGTGATCGGCTAATTATACTCGGTCCAAGCCCCTCGTACATTAGCATAATTGCTGTTATGATGGAGGAGGGGGGGGGTAGTCTCGCCATTGTATTGTGACAGGATAGAGGTCTAACGGGTTTTTCTCCTGATATAAATATTTCAATGGTGAAAAACGGGGAACATTACATGCCACGTTCTCCGATGTGTTTTGCCGACAGCACGAGACCATTAAAATAAAACAAATTATTAAACATACTTCGTCCATTGTTTTCATTCGTTGACGTGGCTAATATTATAAGTATATTTGCATGTTTATACAGGCAAGCGTGCGTTACACGTACAATCATGAATTTAATAATCTTTTAACGTGAGAATTAGGATCGTGCGATTATCCCATATATTACTTCGCCAATAATCATTACTAAATAAATTATATATATATATATATATATATATATATATATATATATATATATTACTTGTGGTAAAATTAATATCAATCCATCAGCTGAAATAAAAGAAATAACTAAGTCACATAAAAAAGAGAAAAAAACAGCAATGATTTTTCAGAAATAATGTAATTAATTAAGATAACCGTAATTCTACATTTACGATATCATTCCATCATTTTCAGAAATTGCAGAAGTATAGCACACTAGATTGATAATATTTTTACGACCACGTATATCGCCCCTGTGACTATAACAACCAATATAGAACCCAATTCGTTCAATCAATGTCGGCCGCCGCCAGAGATGAGACCCAAAAAAGCATATGATTCGCAAGCCAATAAAACTAACAGGCGATTTGCGACTTTGACGTAACATCGTCCAGCGTAATCATAATAATATAAGTCGCGTCGGGCCCAACGTCTGCTCAGCCTGTGCGCGTGGCTGGCGGCTACCTTATCACGGGGTTATAAACGATAAATGAAAGCACTGATTCGATAACGGCCGCCATTTAGCAAAGCAAGTAAAATCATGCGTCCGCCCCCGAGCAAAATGTAACTGCGGTTTGTCCGACACAGAGTAAATCCGGCGCGACAATGGCTAACTCGTGCGCTGCGCACACCGTCGCTGGCTACGATTGTCGACGCATGGTTCGCAAAGCGCGCATAGAGCAATAATATATGCATGAGGAGTAAATGCAGTTACAGTCAGCTTAACATAACATAGCTGTCGGGCAGCGCGTGGAAGCTCGCTCGCTTGCTCGCTCGCTCGCTAACATTGCGATTCGCTGACGCGAGCGTATAGCCAGCAGCGTTCACCGCGTCGCTGCTAAAAACAATGGAAAATGTCGGAGATTAAATTTTCCATTTTTCAACGGAGCAACACGCGCACGCACGCACACGTAAGTCCTCCCCACAACACGCGCGCGCACATACACGCACGCACGCACGCACACATACACGCACGCACTCACACACATATACAGCACGCGCACGCACAAACACGCACGCACACGCGCACGCACACACGCACGCACGCGCACATGTACATTTACAAACATGTGCCCACACTAACATACATGCAAGAAATTAATACCAGCTAGGAGGGCTATAAATTTGAATCGAGCTAACGAGTAGTAACCGCTACAGCCTGCCCTTCAGTGTAGGAGGCACGGTGGAAACAAAATGAGCAACAAATGCGATCGGATATTTCAGTAGAGTGTGGGCATAGTAACTCGCGCATATAATCGTAATAATCATAAAATTATGGATTTATTCGAGATATTGCTAAAAGGCGGCTTCCGGAATGACGAGCTTTTATCATGTTGCTTGATTTAAAAAACGCCAAATCCGCAAAGCAGACAAGGGGAACAATATGAAAGCTCGCCAGAAAAACCGCGCTAGAATTGTGCTCAATCGTCAGGCTATCTATTAATTTAGCAGCTATCTGAACGTTGAAACGCGCTGCTGCGCAGGCAGCAGGGAGCCAGGAAACGCAACCCAGGATGCCAAACAATGTTCGCGCCGAGATATAAAAAAACCTACAATATAGTAATTTATTTCACGAACACATACTTCCTCGACAAAAGTCCGAACACACGTGTATCTAAACGTGGCCATTTTCAGTTGACAATCACCTTTATTACGTATATGAATATGTGTGCGGACGTGCCTGCGTGCGTGCATGTTTGCGCGCGTGCGCGCCTGTGTCAGGCTGTTTGCACATGTGGTTGTTTGTATAGGGCGGGTTATGAACATGTACTTACGTACATATATGTTTACGTCTACGTACGTGCGCGAGTGCACTAAATCTTGCACATGATTATATAGCTACGCTGCGAAACGAGACGCGCACCAGCAACGTGATATCTTAATTTAACGTGAAAATAAATCCTCAAAATCTTTTTTAAAATTAATTAATAAAAAACTGCTAAATAAATACACCACGAATACAATTAAAATCCGATACAAAAAAATATATTTGAATAATGAAATAAAACACCGCGCATTATTTAATACACGCAAGTATACTAGAAGCTTGTAGCGGGCGTCTGAGATGTGCAGGCTGTATATAGCGTGTGCTACACATAACATCTACTCATTCGTCCTAATGCGCCCGGGCAGCTAGAAATCATAACCTACCACTAGGCTGGCCGACGCGGCGGGGGACGAGCAGGTCGAAGCAGCATCTAACGAAGCGCGTAATTTTCATTTTGGCCAGAAAATATTATTCATATCTTTTTTCACGCCGGGGGAATTTCACGCAGCCGTGGACGGAGACGGGACGAGGCGGTTATGGGACGCGCACCATTGTCGCCCCATGTAGCATGCATCAGTGCTCGGCTAAACCCCCCCCCCGCACACCACCACCCACCCACCATCCCCACCCCACCCTTCGAATTCGCGGGGAAAACTCTCACTGTGACGGCGCTTGTGTGTATGTGCGTGTGTGTGTGTGTGTTGTGTGTGTGTGTGTGTGTGTGTGTGGTGTGTGGTGTTGTGTCGTGGTGTGTGTGTGTGTGGGGTGTGTAGTGTTGGTGTTGGATGTTGGGGGTGGTGGGGGGGGGTGATGAGTGGTCGAATGTGTCGGGTGGGCCGGGGGGGTGGTGTTGGGGTGGGTGGTTGGTGTGTCTGCTGATGTATGGGAGGCAATTTGTGGGGGGGGTGTGGGGGGCCGGGGGTGGGGTTGGTGGGGGTGCGGGTGGTGTGTGTGTGTGGTTGTTATGTGCATGTGTGTGTGTGTGTGTGTTGTGTGTTTTTGGGTGTGTGTCGTGTTGTGTGTGTGTGTGCGCGCCGCGCTCTGTGTGGTGTCGTGCGTGTGCCGTTACTTTCACTGACTGCTGCCCCCTTCCCCTTCTATCTCTC